GGATGCCAGGGAACCCATGGATCTGAAATAAACACTTGTGCCGCCCCATTTTTGATCTGTCATACTGCATTTGGTTTTATGATATCCCATAGTTGTACAATATTTTTCCACCATCCTGAATCCACTTGTTTCTTTTTTCGGGAGTAAATTGACTGATTTTTAATATATTTTATCTTTATTGCCTCACCATCAATGTGGTATGTAATGACATGTGTCGAAGCTTTTAGGGATAAGTTTCTTAAGGATGCGTTTGGTTTGACAGAAAATAGGGAATTTCTATGATATTAGAAGGTTTGTTTGTTGATACCTAAATTTTCATTAATAGTCAGAATTTCACTAAATTTTCGGAACCCGGAATGTAGCAGTGTTGTACAACTCATATTAAAGAGATGGACACCGAATTGAGAAATTGTAAACTCTACTCAAATTTTATTAACCATTATCAAATCAAAAATCAGAATATACAGGGGAGGGGAGGACATAGCCTGCCTTGCCCCATGCCCAATACAAAAAGCACTCATCAATGCCCTCTCAAAACCCACCCCAATAAAGAAATTAAAAAAAAAATACAATCAGATTTAATCAATTCTCAAATTTTAAACTTTGGTGGGATATAATTAAAAGTTGCATTGCTTTTCAAATTCACACCTATTGCAATGGTTAAAATAAAATAAAATCGTTTAAAATTAAAAAAAAATCAAATTCAAATGGTTAAAAATGATGATCAAACAAAAAAAAAGATAACCTGTGGTACACACACATGCATCCAATTCAATTCAGATAAGGTGTAAATTCAATTTTAGACTGATATAAAATATGAACCGGTTCATGAAAATTGAAATCAGTTGTTTTAGAATTTTTACACCAATCATGTTTGATTGTTAAGGTGTAAATTTTGATGACTTGTTTACGGAATTTGGAACACACGCCAGTGTAAATATAGCATATAGCTACAACTTGTAGCTTTAGCCTGCTACAACCTATAGCTTGCAGCAGATGCATCATCGGCTCCTTCCTCCATGCTTCTCTTCACAGTTTGATCTACTACAACATCGAATGAGAGAAAGAGAAAGAGAGAATTGGAACGAAGAACCACCAGAGAAAATGGAGGAGGCGTAAGAGGCCGTTCGGGCTGAAAGGAGGAGGCACAGCTCACCCACGGTGTGCCTTACCCTTCCCTCCGACAAACCATGGCTGCTAGGGGGATTTATTTTAGTGGCTGCCATCACTTCACCTTGCATGCTAAAAAGAAGCCTCAAGCTTCCGTTAGGGGTGTTCACGGTTCGGTTAATCAAATCGTGGGGCTTATTTTGTAACCAAACTGGTAGTACTGGTTCTTGGAAAATCAGTAACCGAAATCTATCAGTTAACTGGTTGACCGGTTTGATTAATCGTTGGTTTGGTTCGTCAGTTTTTCGGTTTTTTAATTTTTACAATATATATTATAAAAATATATATAAATCTATAATAAAAAATTATAAATATATATATAATATTATATTTTAAATAATAAATAATATATCGTATATTATAAACATACATATTTACATATATTCTGCATATTTATTAATTTATAATATATAAAAATATAAAAAATATATATAATATACATAAAAATATATAAAATATATAGAAATATATGTATACCGGTCGATTCGGTTAATTGCCAGTTTTCTGTACTGGTTAACCGAAACTGAACTGATACCTTCAGTTTTTTGAGAACACCAAACCGAAACCGAACCGGCTGGTCCAGTTAACTGATTTTTTTGTTCAACTTCGATCGGTTTTTTCAGTCGATTCGGTTTTTCAATTTTTTTTTTGCTCACCCTTAGCTTTTGTGGTCGATGTGGTCAACGCCACCACTAGGAAGGCCGACTTTTCCACCACTAGAGCTAATGAAGAAATGGAGAAGAGAGACGTTAGAGTGAGAAGAATTTTACTTCGATGGTAGAAAGGGTAAGTTTTACATCGATAATTTTGATGTATTTTTTACATCAATTATAGGTGTAAAAATATTTTAAAAAGGAGTTTTACGCCGATTTATGGTGTAAATATACACTCTATCCAAACACTTGCAAAATCTAACCTGGGTGTAAAATTTACCCCGATTCGATTTTACACTTCAAACAAACACGGCCTATGGGTTCCGACTCTTTTCCCAAATAACATGGGACAAGAACTCTTAACATGCTTTTAAAAAGTTACAAGAAGACAAAAACAAAAGCCAATAAAGACAAAGGCAAAACAAAGAGAGGGAATTTAGATTTTTGGAATTTAAATATTCTCTCCAAAACAAAAATCTGACACACATTTAGGGTTTGTCCGTTTTCTCTGTGAGGTCTAACATTTGAAAGCATGGTTTTTAAAACTGACCTGGAGATCGAACCGGTCAATGATCCGGTTATCGGGTCAAATGGTTCGACTATTCGAATCGAACAGTCGGCCCATTTTGACAAAAAAATAAAAAATAAAAAACGGTCAAAACCGTTCAAACAGTTAATCGCCCGGGTCAGCGGTTTGTTGACCAAAATCATTGGTTTTTGAAGAAAATCCGGTTTTGGGGAAAACCGGAACCAATCACCTAACCGGTTCTCGGCTTTTTTGGTCTGACCGTTCAGTCCGGTCCGGTTTTGAAAACCATGTTTGAAAGTGCAATAATTATATTAAGAGGTATATTGGTATTGGTGAACTTTTCTTTCGTCTAAACTCTAAATACAAAAAATGTTGTTTTGAATTATGAAAATGATCAAATATCTATTTTAACCCCATATATGAAAGTTTGTGTTTATCTTTTCGGGGTTATCATTGGAAAACAGAAAGTTGTTTGATTGCATTTTAAGAAATAAGAGATAAAAAGAAATGAACAACTATTTTTCTCTTAAAATTAAAAGATTCCTTTTAAGATATAAGAATTAAGAGGAAACTAACAAACCCTTACTGTATTTAGATCTCCTATCTACAAAAACCCTAGCCACACCTATCCACATGTCACTACAGCCTCAAATTAAGAGCATTTTTCATAGGGAAAATCTATGATACGGGAAAAAAGTTTTGACCAATCAATTATTTTTCGGATACCATATCTTTTTTCGTATCATAGTCGAACCCTTTTTCATATTTGCATGTTACCGTTAATGGGAAGATGTTCCCCGTACATCCATAGTGAGACGTGGGTCCCGTGGCTAATTAAGATTAGTGTGTAGGAGATTCGAATTGACCTTTACTCTATACCCTATTTGGCAATTGCGTGGTCGTTGGCCTACCATTAATTGACATAATAACCACTACTGATATCTCGTCATGGCTGGCAGCGCAGTTAAATTTCCATTTTACACAGCTCGATGCTAATGCCACGTGGCATCTTCTGAGTAGTGGTTGATTTCGTCTATCATTGGGGTATAATAGTTGGATTCAAGAAAATAAGAAAGACACGGTAAATTAAGGAACCCTGTCATGGGAATTCAACAAAATCTGAGTAGTGTTTGTCTTTTATTTTCATTCAAACCCGACATAACGTAATTGACTTGAAATTCAATAAGATTAATTATTTAGGTTGGGTATTTTATCAGTAGAAGCTAAATAAGGCTCCATTTATAATAAGAAAAACATGTTTTAAATTTATCTGGATTCGGATCTAAAATGGGCCCAACATTATTATAACTGTATTTGAAAAATCTTGTAATTTTAATGAGAGAACGATTTTTAGATCTGATACGTTTCTAGAAGAATAGTAGAGATAGACCTATACACCTTCCTCCCAAGTCAGCCAAGAACTTGTCAGGAAGGCTCCAAAATGTGGGTCTTGTGGGTCCGGCCCAACAAGTTATTATATATACGAGAGAATTTTAATAAATTTAAGAGTTCAATTATATTACATGGTTCATTTGCTTTTCAATTATTCACATTTCATGTTTTTTGCTTCCTATATGGTAGACTTCATGCATCATACATTTTACTTAAATTTAGACCATGTAAAAACAATGTGAATTGTCTTCTCTTGTTATGAATTTGAAAACAAATTAAAAACATCTAACTTAAAAATAAATTCTTTTTTATTAAAGAAAACACATAAAAACATGTAATCTTGATTGTAAATGTGTTTTTATTTCTAAAACTGAAATAAAAAAAAAAAACATGTTATTATTTACCTTTAAAGAAAGAAACCAAAAACATGTCATTGAATTTCGGGGTTGAAAATCATATTTTTGTTCAATTAATATATCTCATCACTATGATGGTTTTAATAACGCGAATTCTGTTTTGAAACAAAACCGTCGTAAAACAAAGAATATAAATTTATAATGTCAAAAGGTATCATAAGAAGAGCTTTGACCAATCACCCCCTCCCATGGTGAATTTTGATGAATACCACTTGATTGGTTACCAGTTTTTAAGTTATAATTTTTTCGGCATAATAGTCGAATCTTTAAACAAAAACACAGTTCAAACAGTATGTTTTTTTTTCTTTCTTATGCTGCAATTTGAAAACAAATGGAAACAAAAACATTCACAAACAACCCTTAATTGTTACTATCAATCACTAGCCAAGAATCAAAAATAACGTAGCCAAGGGATCTTATTGATCAAAAAAATCTTCCAACTGCATGCGTATGGAAAATTAAAGAGTGAAAAGAATCTTATCCGTTCAAACCATATATATAACTGATGTTGAAAGGGAATTTGGACACTTTGGCAACCCAAAAAAACAACGGATACTGTGAAACCACCACCTTTGATTACTTCTCATTCTTTCCTTATAGTCTTCAAATGAACCTAAACAAAATCTTACTAAATCTTATTTTCTTTTCTCTCTAGACTGACCATCTTATACGGCATATCATCTTCTGATCTCGCTGCTTAAGTCTTTGATTTCTTCCGTGCTAGATTTAAACTGGCTCCCTATACAAAGTTTCAACCCTTCTTCATCCCCATGCACCTATAAATACCCCCACCATCCCAATACATCTCCTGCATCAGTCAATCACCACCTTATTCTCGTACCATCTCTCTCTCTCTCTCTCTAAGCCCATAAAAACAGAACTCATCAGTCATCAAGTGTATCATGGGTAAGAAGAGCAATCCATTTCCATCCTTCTTCATCCTGATATTTGTTACAAGTGGTCTGCTGTCTAGAACAGCTAGTTTGTTTCCATCAGACCTCCAATCTCTCTACATTGACACTAGGCTCCGTTTGGACGCCAAGGCTAAAACCTCGGCCTCCATTGATTATGGTAATATCACCCAAGTTATTCCGGCTGCCGTTCTCTATCCGGAGTCACAGGACGACATTGCAGCACTGATAACATTCTCTTTTGAGTCTCCAGTTCCTTTCCTTATAGCTGCAAAGGGCATGGGTCATTCAGTCAATGGACAAGCAATGGCTCCTGATGGTGTTGTTGTGAACATGAGATCACTGAACAATGAAGAGAACGGAAGTCGGATTAATGTGTCTAGGAGCACTACATCAATGGCGATTAATTGGTACGTAGATGCTGGTGGGGAGCAGCTTTGGATCGATGTGCTGCGTGCCACCCTTGAATATGGCCTTGCACCAAGGTCATGGACCGACTTCTTGTATCTAACTGTGGGTGGGACTCTATCTAATGCTGGTATAAGCGGCCAAACCTTTCGTTATGGTCCCCAGATCAGCAATGTCTATGAGTTGGACGTTGTTACAGGTAACTCCATAGCCATTTAAGTGTACCTACTTCTCATTTCAGATTTGATTCAAACACAAACATGCAAACCTGGCTACATGACCAATCCAGTACTGAATATATAGATATATAAGATCCATGTGGTATGTGTCCATGCATAAGTGACATGTTCATTTGTGAATGGGTATAACATAGTCAGGTCCACACACTTGTGTTCGCAGCAGATCCCATATACATATATCTATATATTGTCAAGTATACGTCACATCTAGGAGATTGCTAGGGTGACGATATAATAGATGAGATGGTCGCTCGGTGTTCCTCCAAAAATCAAAGCACAAGGGCATGTAATGGCAGACTATGGTAAGGTTGGTGGACCTCATGTGCATCCTGCTATGTCCCCAATACTAGAAAAAACAAAAAGACCAAAAAAAACAAGAGAGAGAAAAAAACACATAAATGCCTAAAGTGGGGGCCTCAGTGATATTAAGCCATATATATAAACGTTTTTCACATTTATTTTTTACCTTAAAGTTCAATGTTTTGGTTTTGTCAGACTGGCCAGACCGGATGGTTGGACCATCAGAATTGAAAACAGGCAGCCAAAATAACCAACCAGCTGGTATTCATTAAATTCAAATAGCCTTCACATTGCTGTCCGGTTATGCATCCGGTCTGAGTCTGCAATTAATAAATTAAACCAATACGCACTAAATCTAAATGTGTGGATTGTTATGATACAGGAAAAGGAGAGTTAGTGACCTGCTCCAAACACACAAACTCAAAGCTGTTTTATGCAGTATTGGGAGGTCTTGGCCAGTTTGGCATCATCACTAGAGCAAGAATTGCATTGGAAAAGGCCCCAAGCACGGTATAATTCATTCATCATTAAGATATCAGGGCTTATAGAATTGTGTAGATGATAATTTAGCCTAATTTTATACTAAAGTATACATTTAGATAAGGTTTTAAGTATTGGGCGTATCGTATCATATCGTTGGATTTTTGATACATTTATTTAAAGGTTTTTCAAGAAATTATTTTTTTATTGATTAGATAATATATATATATATATATATAAAGTGAAATTTTGAAAGAAAACTAAAAGAAATAAAATGCATGGGGTAAAAAGTATCCACACACCCCTGCCAATACATTTGGGTGTATTAATACTTTAAACCATGCATTCAGAATAAAGGCCTACTCAATATTGATCCCAGCTATCAAGGATAGGGTATTTGGAAGGGAAGCAGTTCTAACCTTTGGCATTTTTTATATTCAAACTCATATTCTTATGCTTGTTAGCTCCAGATTTTACCATTAAACCTAATAATTAATGTCTCCCTGTAGGTTTATTGTTTATTGTTGTCATCTATATATATGTTGTAAAATTGCTTGCAGGTGAAGTGGATGAGTTTGTACTATGTAGACTTCTTTGCTTTTACAAGAGACCAAGAAATTTTGATCTCAACCCATACAAGTCATGAGAACAAGACATTTGATTACATTGAAGGTACCCTCGTTATGCAACATGACACATCAGATGATCCACGAATAACTTCCCTAGCAAAACAGTATGGCATTGTTTACACCATAGAAGTGGCCAAGTACTACGACGATCTCACTATCAACCAGGATACGGTTGATGAGGTATGTCTTTTCTTAACTGTAATTCTGTAAAGTAAAAAGGTCATGTTTTTGTTTTCATTTATTCTTGAAATCAAGGTTCTAAATATCGATACAGGTTGAGACTCTGGACGGGGTGTACGTGTTGGCCTGTATCTTTGGCCATTTTTATTTTTTTTTTTAGGTTTTTCAAGCTAATCTTAGTAATGTAAATTTTGTTTTGTTGTATTTAGACTTAAGTATATACTTGAAATATTATTGGATTGAGGTGGATTCATATTTGATCCAATTATATACAAGTAGCTTAATTAGAATATGTAATTAGACCGAATTTAAAATTCGGACTAACCATTTGCAGACATACTAATTTGGGAATCTTTAGTGCAGGAACTAAAATTGTTACTTGAAGGGTTGAGCTTTATTCCTGGCATGATCACCACAACAGATGTCTCCTATCTAGATTTCTTAAATAGAGTTCGAAGTAAAGCATTGAAAGTCCAGTCACAAGAGCAGGGAGATGTTCTTCATCCGTGGCTTAATCTCTTTATACCCAAATCTCGGATCTTTGATTTCAATTCTGGTGTTTTCAAGGGAATCCTCCTGAAACAGAACAAGACCGCTCTAAACCGTTTCTATCCCATGAACCGAAACAAGTAAGCATATATGACCTAACGAATGTCACTATCAGTAACCATTCAACCTAACAGCTTTTAAGTTGTTAGGTGAAGTCCCTGAATATATTTTTATTCTCTAATGCACTACCTTACACAAAATTCTATCGGATTTGAAGCATCAATAGGCACATGTCCACTCATATCTTGTGCAAAACTTACTTAATTATAATAGGAGCAGCGATCACTTGGTCAAATAGGCTATGATACCATATGAGAGAATCGTTCAACCTAACAGTTCAAACTGTTAGCTGAGGATTCTGAATATGCTTTTATTCTCTAATAAATAGTTACTACCAACTGATAGAACACAAGGATAGGGGTGTCAACGAACCTGTTTTTCTGGATGGATTGGACGGATCAATAAGACATTGAATTGGACCAGTCCATCCATTATGGATTTATATTGGATTGGGTTGGATTGAACCAATATCAGGTCCATTGATAGATAGAAGATAAGAATACACATGTCAATGGACCAGGTTCAGGTTGAAACCTATCAAAATTAAAATCAGTTTGGACAAATTAGACAGTTTAAACATAGAATTAGACTGGGTCAAAAATGGTTCAAAATATTCATCGGATTGGATTGGACCTATCCATCCATAATGGACTCATATTGGACTGGATCGGCATGGACCACATCTGATCGAATTGACACCCCTACACAAGGGTATTTAAAAAAGAAGGGTGATTAATTATGTACGCTCAATTAACACCTCAATGTGCATTGCAGGTGGGAAGGCAGGATGTCTTCAGTGATTCCTGATGAAGATATATTCTACCATCTTGCACTACTGCGATCAAGTGGGATACATGATCTGGAGTTTTTTCAGAGACAAAATAGAGAAATACTGGAATTCTGTGACAAGGCTGGCATCGAGATTAAACAATATCTTCCTCACCACGAATCCAAGGCAGAATGGATCAAGCATTTTGGGCCCAAATGGAACACTTTCAAAGCCAGGAAAGCCATGTTCGACCCAAAAGCAATATTGTCACCAGGGCAAAGGATTTTCAATTCCTTGTAAGAAAATTGTCTGTGCCATGAAATTCTAATGTATAGCAGGCATATATTTAAATCCAATAAAATCTCCAGGGACATTTGTTTTCTTGGAGATAATCAGTCAGTCGGGTAGTTGTATCAAAGAGTTGAAAATTTTATTTTTGTTGGTAATAGTAGTTGGGTTTGAACCATAATTCCACTATGGTTTATTTCATATCTAACTATAACTTTTTGGGGTGATAGTTTCTAATTTTTACACTAACATTCTTTGTGCTTAATGGGATTGCTTGGTCAAAGTCTATAGTTTGCTCTCAAAACTACGTGTTTGGACTTGGGACTTTTCTTCCAGTATAAACCGAATAATGTACAAAGTTTTGTGAAGGTTGATAGAAAAGAATAGAGAAACAGAAAGTTGAGGGTAAGTATATTTGAGTTTTATGAAAGTTCTTGTGAGCCTTCTCTCAGCTTTCTTTCTCTTATTTTCTATCGAAGTTTTGTGAAGGTTCTTGTAAACTTTCTCTCAATCTTTTGTTTTTCTCTTATTTTCTATTAAACCAAAGATAGTTTAAGGCTTGAAAGACAATCACCAAAGTCAGCAATTACTGCAACTAATGGCATATAAGACTTTCACATGGGTAGACCAAAGGATGGTCTTCGGCCTTCCTATCGACCATCAATCAAGTTCCTTCTTTCTATTATCTAGAGTTTCAATCTATCGAAAATCTTCTTTTTTTCTATATTTTGGGTTTGGTAATTTGTCAATCATCATGTTGCATCATTTATTAAAATTTCAGAGTTTCAGTGACTCTGAAATGATACACACCAATACATTGCCATATTTTAAAACTTATTAAGGTCTCAACTATTTTATAGATGATATAAATTAGGCCTTACCGAATCTGAAACATGTTTAAATAATGGGTAAAATATAAAAACCTCCCTTGAGGTTGACAATCATAAAAACCTCCCCTATGGTTTCATTTTCAGAAAAACCTCCTTTGTGGTATACCGTTTTTATTTTTTTATTGTCATGGATAGAAAATGTTGGTCTAATGCATTAGTTTTTTTAAATACCCATTTTACCCTTACACCTATCAATTTATATGAAAATTTACTAAAATACCACCAAAGAGTTTTTCGCTTTTAATCTAAAAAATCCCCAAGTTAGATAGAAAAGAACAAAGTAATTTTACTTTAAAAACATTAGGCCTAGTGAAGTTTAGAAGGGCAAATCTGACCTTTTAAATTATATTGAAAGATTCCCTTAGGGTAATTTCGTAACTTTGAAGTCTTCATTATTAGAACAAAAGTTTTTGGTAAACTATAAGGGAGGTTTTTATCAAAGTGAAACCTCAAGGGAGGTCTTTATGATGATTAGAAACTTCAGGGGAGGTTTCTATATTTTACACTTAGCATAAACCATGGATCCTATTTCCAACACAAGAAATTGAGATAGAGGAGTTACTTCCTCCTAATGCTGTAAAGAGTTCGGATTTCCTCCTCATAGAATGATCCTTACACCGACTTCATAGCAAGTTTCAGCTAAGCTTGGATCTCTTGCAAGTAAAAACTTTGCACACAAGACCCAACCGCACAATGGGAATATTTCCCATACATGTTTGTTAAATTCATGGGGAGATATTCCCAATTTATGTATGGATTCACATGATTTAACAGTGTGTGTGCAAAGTTTTTTGCTTGCAGGGAATCTCATCCCATTGTAGCCGCACATAGGAAAAACTGCCCATACTAGTATGCTTCCATTTGAGCTCAGATCGATTGCAAGCAAAAATTCTACTAACATAACATCTCACAACACATTGGAAATATCTCTCATACATGTATGTTAAATTCGTGAGATGTTCCCAATGTATCGCTGGATTCCCATGCTTTCAAACTGTGTAGAGCTTTTGATTGCAATGAGTCCTAGTTGTTTTTCTTCATTGGGAGATCTACTCTCAATACATAGGTGCAACCTACTGTCAGGTGTGTAAGGAGGAAATTCAAATTCGTTGTAAAATGGGTAGAATTGAATCAAATATAAGGTGGAATTGTACTATGGGGCCAGTGACAAAAGACCCCCTATACTATGGGGTTAGTGACAATTACCTCCCTAAACTTTCATTTATGACAAAGACCCCCTGAACTTTCACTTTTTGACAAATACCGCCTTAACCATTAAGTCAGATGACACAATGCGTTAAGTTACCAAAATACTCACCTAAACTATACTTATTTTCTTTTCATCACCCTTTTCTCTTAAACTCTAATTAACCAAAAAACACATCCATTTTCTCCAAACAAAACAAATAAAATAACAAGAATCATTTCACTGATACAAAAAACAAGTTTCTTTAAATTCTTGTTTCATTACAAAGACATGAATGTCTCTCTTCATCTTAAAATATAAAACTATTCACTCCTTTCTCTAATAAATAAATAAAAAAAAACAAATGAAACTTTAAATTTATATCTATCAAAGAAACCTCTACCATTCATTTGAATTTTGGATCCAACCAGAAATTTGTAAGGATCTATTAGGGCAATTGATCTTTACCAAAAAAAATTGTTAGGGCAACTGAGAGGACTTCAATATTATATTTAGAAAACTAATCAAATCATAACTCACTCAAATAAATAAGAAAAAAGTAGTCAATGGATTTAAACATTTTAAATAACTAAATAAGAACCTTTTTCAAAGTTAATTGACAAAACTTTAACAGAGGGGGTAATTGTCGTAAAGTAAAAGTTAAAGAGGGTCTTTGTCGCAAATGAAAGTCTGGGGAGAAATTGTCACTTACACATAGTAGAGGAGGTCTTTGTCACAAATGAAAGTATGTGGGGGGTTAATTGTCACTGGCCCCATAGTACAAGGGGGTCTTTGTAACTTACCCTTATTTATATTTGATTCGAATCAAATCTATACTACTATAAAAAGTATGAATAGATTCTAAAATTTCTAAAATTTTTCTTGACCAAAATACCCCTTTTTTTTGAAATATGACCCCTCTATTGTGAGGGTAAAAAATGTAATTTGGATACTATTATTCAATACATTTAATTCCCTCTCATTAAAACTCACATTTAGACTAAGTTTGGTTTAGAGGAAAAAGTAGGAAAAAAGGGAAACCTTTAGAAACCTTGTATTGGTTTTCCTATCTTAACTTTCCTTTCCCTACTTTTTCCTTCAAACCAAACACAGCCTAAAGGTATTGACTCCCATTCACCCTCATTGAATCATATATTTAAAGAATTTTTATTTATTCTCATCATTAAATTCTATTAATTAAATCCATACATAATAAATTAATAATTCTAATAACATAGAAACTTATACTTTTAAAATCCAAATGGAAAAATAGTGTTTTCTTTTAGGTAGTGGTAAGAAATTAAACCATTTTAGCTTAAATGGGCTAACTCATGTTGCCACAAATAAACAATAAAATGAAAAAAAAAATAAATAAAATGAAAAAAATTTAGAAATTGAAGAAAATTTTGGAAACATTTTTAACATCATACATTTGACATATTAAACAATAATAAGGGTGTAGAACTTTCTTTTTGACTAAGCTACCCCTATTTTTGAATTTATTCCCTCTTTAATTCTGAGGGCTAATAATGTAATATCATTTACATTTTTTCACATCATTTAATTCCCTCTCATTAAGTCTTATATTTAAAGTATCAATTCACATTCTCTCACATTAAATCTTGTATTTAAGGTATTTTTTATTTAATAAATTCCAATAATTAGAGCTTTATCAAATGCTTT